CAAATATTAGAAGCAACACCTTAGGCTTAGGAATACGCATCGGGGTAGTTTTGCATTAACGGCCACATTGTACAAGTTAAGGACTGGACAATTAGGAGACAGATTCTCGTGCTTATTTCAAGTATCAAGAAGGACCCTAGAAACATGAAGGTCTGTAGTAAGAAATATCTTGTTAACAGACTATGTTCCACAATTTCTTAGATATTTTCTAATTTAAGAAGGGAGCAGGTGACAGCAAAAGATAGCTACATTGCCAGTCACATTTTTGGTGAGCCTAATGCACCAGATGAACAAAAAACTGAAATTACAATAGCTGACATATATATATATATATATATATATATATATATATATATATATATATATACAATTAAACAGTAATTACTTGTTCCAGAAGGACACATATTCCCTTCATAAATATAGGAATTTATTAAAGCTATTTATCCTCTGTGCCTCTGATGGATATATACCCAAAGAGCAGAGTTGTTACTTGCGTTATTTATAAGTGAACATGCATCTACTTTAACAGTGGACCACTTGTCCGAAATGTGTAGAAAAACATTTGCTGATAGCCGAAGTGCCGACATTAAATTATACCGAACGAAATGTACCAACATCGTTAAATATGCATTGGCACCGCACTTTGTTTCACAACTGGTTGCAGACGTAAGCCATATGAGTTTAGTATACTGGTTGAAGAATCCACAGACATCTGTCATAAAAATTCTCATCCCATCAAACCGACATTATGACACTTCACATAAAAAGATTATCACGGCATTTTTAGACTCGATTGAGATAGAAAACGGGACTGCTGATGCTATAGTAAATGGCCTCAAGACGCTTTTTTCAGAACTTAAACTAAATATGAAAAACTTAAAAGGGATAGAAACTGACAAAGCCAGTTCTATGACTGGTGTGAACAAAGGTGTTTATAGCTTGTTGAAAACTGAAACTGGCAAGGAAAATCTAGTTTTAGTGTGGTGCCTTTGCCATTCCCTGCGATTGCTATAACACATGCGTCAATTCCGAGTAATATTGAGTTTTTAATCTGAGAAACATATAAATGGTTTAGCCATCCCTCCAACCGACAGTTGTTTTACAAGGAGCTATAAAAGACCATAAACTGTGCAAAAGAACCGTTGAAAATAACTCAGGTATGCAGTACGAGATGGTTGTATATTGAACCTGCTTTCCGCCGGGTTATAGATCAATGACTGGAACTAAAAACGCCTTTCGAAATTGTCAAACAAAATAGAAAATTGCTACAAGGCTGAATTGCTTTATTCTATGTATAACGATCCTGTTAATCATCTCTATCTGCTATATTTATTGCCTTTGTTAGATGAAGTGCTAACGATAAATCAAAATTTTGATAGCAAGGACCGAAACCCGACTAAACTGCTGAATGATTTAGTTGAACTTGTTGAATCAGTCGCCAGAAGAATCCTATTGCCAACAGCGAGAATAGACATGCTGACAGCTACAAATCTTGAGAGCTATCTGGACCCGTTTCCATACCTGGGCTATGGTTACGAACTGAAGCTGACTGAATACGAACTTTTACTTAAACCCGAAAGTAACCTGCGGCACTGCTGTAAATAATTTACACTTAAACTTGTACAAGAACTGCGCAAGCTTTGCAGCGTTTACAACACCCAAAGAAACACAAGGTGGCCAATGGTATTGTTTTATACTTTGATCAATATTGCAACTGTAAATGCACAAGTGATTTTTGAACACAACAAGGAAAAAAACTGTTGTAAGACGAAAATTTATTGAAGAAATTTCTTATTCATTCATGGAAAATCAACTAAGGTACAGATATACTTCTTCCACTATTTCTGAAACTATCAAACTGAGAATAAAAGAAATCCTGAACATTTTTGAAAATGACCAAGTAGCATCGTTTTCTAACCAAGTTCTACGTGTAGCATGTCGTTGTTACTATTGCGATAGGAAAAAGAACCGCAAAACAAAGTATAGTTGTTTCAAATGTGGAAAACACACGTGTCTAGAACATGTGATTGTTATATACCGAGAATGTTCATCTCAAGTAAATATTATGGATAATAATGACGAATAGTTTACTATAGTTTTGCTAGAATAATAATTAGTAGCTTTTAGGTATGTTTTCTTTATTTTATTTTATTATAATTTAGATTATAACTAAAGTTATACATAGAATGATCTAAAAATAAATGTAATTTTAGAGTTCCTATTACACAGTGCCATTGACAGTGAATGTGATTTATTTCTAAGATAATTATTACAAGTTTATAAGTTGTAAGAGCCATGCTGCAGCTATATTAGTAGTATATATTAGTAGCACGAATGGCTCGGCTCGACTGGGGAAGGCCCCAGTCGTGCCGACCCATTCGAGGAGGAAGGACCACGCTCTCACAGAAAACCAGCGTAAAATAGCAGCTTAACACTGCTGTGTTTCGTATGGTGAGTGTAGAGAACCGGAGACCCATTTTACTGGAAAAGAGGCATTCCATCTTAGTCCTCACGGGTGACAACGCATAAAAAAATATACAGTCCAATTGAGTATCTCCTCATTCTTGAAGTCGGTAGAAAATGTCATAGTTTCAGTGTATTACGCAGATAATCATATATGTATACCTTACATGTTACACGTACATACGTTTTTAATTTTTTTAATTTAAGTTATTTTATCGACTTAGCTAACTACTTAGTGTACGTACTTCCTACCACGAAAAACGTAAAACGAGTACGTAGAAATAAATGACAACTAGACCTAAAATAGGAAAGGTAAGCACGTAGTTATGAAAACTGGTACGACATGTCCAGATGCCACATTTTTTTTTTGAATATTAAACGTTACCACGTAAACGTGCAGTTTACAAACATAAATTGCTCGAGGACAAACATCCAGACCCGGAACAATTATCTGTAGGCCATACAAATACTTGTTGCGTGCGGGATACGAACCCGCGACTCCCAGCGCAACAACACATTGCTATGCCACTGCGCCACGCAGCCGTCGATGGTGGTTAATTTGACCTCTGCCAGAAATTACTAGTACAGTATCGCGCCGGGTACCAGCTAGTATAAAATAAAAATATTTCACAGGAAATGATATATTTAATATGATAATTTTAAGGATTAAGAAAGGAATGCTTCGGTGGTTTGGCCATGTAGAAAGAATGAACGAGGAAAGAGTGACAAAGCAAATTTATGTTGCGGAAGTGAACGGCAGGGTCGAGAAGGGACGCCCTAGACGAAGGTTTATCGACCAAATCGGCGATACATTAAAAATGGGCCAGATTAGGAGTACCCTTAACCGACGAGCGTGTATGCGTAGATATATGGATGTAAAAGAGGCGAGAGAGGTGTGTCAGGATCGCGCCAAATGGAAGTCCGTAGTCTCTGCCTACCCCTCTGGGTGACAGGCGTGAGTGTTTATGTATGTATGTATGTATAATTTTCATTCACAAGTGCGGCAATAAATATAAGATAAATTTATAGCAAATAAATGTTACAATCCTTATATTTATCAAACGTGGTAGAGCCATGCTACAGCTATATTAGTACTATAGTTGTAGCACGAATGGATCGGCTCGACCTGGGAAGGACCACGCTCTCACAGAATACCAGCGTAAAATAGCAGCTTAACGCTGCTGTGTTTCGTATGGTGAGTGTAGAGAACCGGAGACCCTTTTTACTGGCAAAGAGGCATTCCATCTTAGTCCTCACGGGTGACAACGCATCTGCATTTTGATTCTTAATCGAAGATAGATGTAGATGTCTATGGGCCACAGCAACCACTTACCATCAGGTGGACTGTGTGCTCGTTTGTCACCCTTATCCTATAAAAAAAAATCCTTATTTATTCACTTACCACCAGGTGGACTGTGTGCTCGTTTGTCACCCTATTCCTATAAAAAAAATATACAAGTCTCATGCATGCTATCTTACGTTTGATTTTATTTAATAGTATATTAAAAATAATATATAAAAATAGATTAATAATATATAAATATTTCTATAATCTATTATACGCCTAGCCCAGCAAACATAGCTGCTTGTGTAATATCCCTTCTAACCCTTTTATCCATTTCTTTAGAACGCACGTTTAATAGAACTGCGTGATTTTCATACCCTCCAGGTCGCAACTGTTTCACTAAGTGCGGCTGAATCACGCGCGATTAGTCTATGCACGACATTCTTTCCTCTCTGAATAAAAATACAGAAGTAATAACGCGCGAAAGCGTCAACGCGCATAAAAATGGATAAAAACATTGAGTTATATGTACTACGTACTAGAGAAGCCATTCCGAACATTGACTATGTTCAACTGAACTGTACTGCAATCCGTACAAACTAAATATTGCGTAAATTGAAGATTTGTGAATTCCATAAAATAATTATTATTACATTTTATTTAGAAATATGTTTGTTTAGATTAAATTAAGATCTTTTATATTAAATCCTTATATTTATTTTATATTAATATCTTATTTTATATCAAATTAAAGTCTTCGCGCATGCGCGACTACTACTCCCGCGCATGCGCGAAGACATAGAGTAGGACACAATTTTTGTTTGGAATGGCTTCTCTAGTACGTAGTACATATAACTCAAATGGATAAAAACAATAACTAACGATTGCGTTTCAGTTCAAGCTTTCCCGCGTTCAAAGGCGCACACTCCGATCGCGAGTGAAAGCACATGTCGCGTAAAGGCGGCTATTAAGGTTAATTTTATTTATTTAATTAATATGTAAATTTTTAACTGTTTATTTCAACAGTTAAAAGTAATATTAACCATGTTTGAAGCACCCCATAAAGGGGAGAACGAGATAATAGGTAACACTGTACTATATTCTATCTTATTCTCTCACATGCTAAATTCTATAAATGTATACGTTTGTCTCTTTTTAGTGTTGCTTTTTCGTTTAATCGAGTTTCAAAGTCACGATTTCAAAGAAGTTTTCAATTGCGAAAATCAAATGAAAATTAAAAAAAAATGGTTACCTGAAACATCTTCCCGCAAATCTCGCACATAAAATGGCTTCTCTTCGATGCGTAGTTGGTGCGATGCATGCCCGGGTGCGCCCTCTTGAAGTGTCTGAAGTAAGTCGAATAGTCCGCCAGTTGCATTTCACACTGCGAACAAATTATTAAAATAATATTTATTTATTTCATAAGCACACTTAAAATATACATATTTAACATAAACACACTAAATTACAAGAAATGTAACACGCTCACTGATATGTACTCGTATGTCAATACCAAGTGAACATGAAAAAGGAGAAAAAATAATTATTTTTTGCAATGTAAATGAAGACTCACCGATAGATAATTGGTGAGCTTTTTTTTTAATGGGTTAAGGTGACAAACGAGCACACAGTCCACCTGATGGTAAGTGGTTGCTGTGGCCCATAGACATCTACATCTATCTTCGATTAAGAATCAAAATGCAGATGCGTTGTCACCCGTGAGGACTAAGATGGAATGCCTCGTTTCCAGTAAAAAGGGTCTCCGGTTCTCTACACTCACCATACGAAACACAGCAGCGTTAAGCTGCTATTTTACGCTGGTATTCTGTGAGAGAGTGGTGCTTCCCCGGTCGAGTCGACCCATTCGTGCTACAACTATACTACTAATATAGCTGCAGCGTGGCTCTACCACGTTTTTTTTTAAAACAGTATAAGAGTCGACGCCAGGTATAGCTCGAGAGATTTCATTATATTTCGCACATATGCGATCCATAGAAGACCTTACCCTGTCACCCTACCCCTACTTCTGCAGCCAAATAAGTGCTTGCACTGCTGTGTTCCAGCCCGATTGGTATAGAGCAGAGATTTCTAAAGTGGGTTCCGCGAAACCTAAGGGTTCTGTGGAAAGGTCATCAGGGTTCCGCGAAATTATTTATTTTTGCTTGTCATATAATTTCACACTTTGGTACAAATATTATTTTGCATTGGCGCGAAATATGTGATGAGAAGAACCAATTACTGTTATGTAGATACGTAGATACTTAGTGAGAATTATATTATAATATTTCAATTGTCATGTCTATGATATGTAATCATTTGATGTGTGGAGTTCCATAAAATAAAAGGGATTTAGCGAGTGTTCCAATACCTTAAAAGTTTGGGAACTGCTGGTATAGAAAGCCAGTATAATTGCAGGCTGTGAGACAACATATTAGTCGTCAGAGGTGACGACACCTGCGGCCTTCTCTGTTCGAAGTTAGCTGCAGGTGTCCACAGAATGCTGTAGCCACTCTCCATCAGGTGCACTGTTAGTTCCGTTTCTTACTTTAATGTTAAGCAACATTTAATGAATTTTAGATAAATTGTTTTAGTAGTGTCGATTTTTTTTATATATATGAGAGGGGGCAAACGAGAATTCGGCTCACCTGATGGTAAGTGACAACCGCCTTCAACTGCAATTTTTTTATTTTTAAGTTATGAAGAAGACGCTATATATATAGTATATAAGCATAGAGTATATAAGCAAGCAAAAAATATTTATTTTGGATTTTTATGCGGACCTGAAGTAACCGATTATCATTACTTTTGGATCACCCCTCGTATATATATATATATATATATATATATATATATATATATATATATACATATATATATATATATATATACATATATATATGTATATATATATATATATATATATGTCTATATCAAAAGTATATGTATCATAACCGCCGTATGTATGTGTTGTAACTGTTCAGTGTTCAACGCGATGCCTACATGCAGGCTTATGTAGAGACAGGTAGGCTGACAGCAAGACGGAACGGGAGAACGATCCTCGCGGGTGAACGCGAGCACCTCATAGTCATAATTGAATATATAAACATTAATTATAGTAAATATGAAAGATATAAAACTTACATAAAAGACACGAGATTATCACAATCAAAACACGCACCTGTTCACAAGGAATGGGGCCTTCCTGCTTCCTGTTTCTGCGTCTTCGCATTTTCATCTTCCGCTTTTCATTCAGAGGCATTGTATTATCACCCGACGCATCGAAGTCTATCGGTGTCCGGCCCTTTCGCACCCCCGGCTTCAGTCTACAACAATTAGGGTGTAAAACAAAAAAAAACCTTTTGTGTGCAATTCACACGCGGCAGAAGTAAGACCTTGAGAAAACTAAACCTCGAGAGAATGAGACCAATGTAAAAAATTAGGGGTAAAATAATTGTGAAATTTATTGGAACGAAGTCCCTTATCGCAAGGTCTTATCGACGAATTTGGCGGATGGGGGCTAGGCGAGAAAAAGTGTAAGATTGTTCCGTCACGACCCCCTTCTGACGTATTGTAGACGGCCTTGGCTGGCTATAAGGAAGCGAGATGGAATAAAATCCATCTCCCTCGCACTTTTTTTTATCTTGCCTTGAAAGACATATTATTTTATTCTAAATGACGCTTAATTTCAATAGACGCTAGTAATTCATTTATTTGTATTTGGTAATCAATAATATAACACGTTTATCAATAATAATATACTACTCGTACGAAAGGAACTTCGCTCTAACTCTAACAGAGTGTTCCACGACACACATTTTTTTTTAATTATAATATTGTTACCAAGTTTAAAAATTATTTTACATTTTATTCTACATAATCATTACATATTTTACAGACTTCCATGTTATCAATTTCATCATCAAGGACTTAAATATTTTCTAATCAACAAGTTTAATCCCCTATTACTTGTAGATCACATGCATAATAACAGAAACACTGTATATTATATTTGTATTATGTCTCATTCTCTCGCAATTCTCTCTGTCTTTTTACGTGGTAGAGCCATGCCGCGTCGAGCCGATCCATTCGTGCTACAACTATACTACTAATATAGCTGCATATATTAGTAGTATAGTTGTAGCACGAATGGGTCGGCTCGACCGGGGAAGAACCACGCTCTCACAGAATGCCAGCGTAAAATAGCAGCTTAACACTGCTGTTTTTCGTATGGTGAGTGTAGAGAACCGGAGACCCATTTTACTGGAAAAGAGGCATTACATCTCAGTCCTCACGGCTGACAACACATCTGCATTTTGATTCTTTATTGAGGATAGATGTGGATGTCTATGGGTCACAGCAACCACTTACCATCATGTGGACTGTGTGCTCGTTTGTCACCCTATCCTATAAAAAAAAACACGAATGGGTCGGCTCGACCGGGGAAGGACCACGCTCTCACAGAATGCCAGCGTAAAATAGCAGCTGAATACTGCTGTGTAGCGTATGGTGAGTGTAGAGAACCGAAGACCCGTAACGTGGCATTATATCTTGGTCCTCAGGGGTGACAACGCATCATCATTTTGATTCTGAATCGAGGATAAATGTAGATTATATGGGCCGTAGCATCCACTTACCATCAGTTGAACTGTGTGCTCGTTTGCCACACTTAATCTAAAAAAAAAATACGCGAACACTACACATTGAATAAAAATCCTTTTAAAATAACATATAGCTGACGTGAAACACGGAACAATCTAGGAAGACTGTAGTCTGTGATCATATTAGAGACTAGATTGCTCCCGCTACTATCCTCAGATTTCACAGACCACATAAGGGACTTGTAACGAAAAAATATAGTCTTGTAATAAGTCTCGGTTAACTTGGGATAGTTGTAAATAAACGCGATGAAATCCGTAAACTTAAGTTTTATTCGATGTTATTTTTTTTTATAGACGTAAAGATGACAAACGGGTGTACCTAATGGTAAGTCGAACCTATGGCCCATATACTACTATATACTACTACTAAATACTCACTATATTCGTGTAAAATTAAGACTTAACTTGGCTGCCTTGTTGTTCTAGTTGTGGTTAACGCGACTGCTGATCATGAGACCTCGGGTTCGAATCCAGGTTCGTGTCAAAACATCAGTTATTAATTTCTGTCAAAAAAATCTCAATAGCGGCCAAAGGTCAGGAAGTTGGTGGTGTCTCACCACCGTGCCTCGGAAAGCAAGCCGTTGGTCCTGCGCCTGATCTCTCTCCGGTCGTGACAGATTGTCGTGCCATCGGACTATGAGAGTGAGGCAATAGAGAATGCACCTGTGCTTACGCACACATTCGTGCACTATAATGCTGTCCTGCGTAAATGAAAATTCAGTGTGGAGGACATTAAATATAATAAATCATTAAGTAACCACGAGTTCACACTCACCCGTCTTTATGCCTGCTCGATAATTTCAAATGTGTCTGCAGCGCCTCCTTAGAAGCGAACCGGATGTCACACTTTTCGCAGGACGGACCATCCTCTGGAACCTGGAGCAGTAGTTGACAGTAGGCAATAGACAATAGACATACAGTTTTAAAAAGTTTCAGAAAATAAAATAGTACATAAAAATACCGAAGATAAAGAGAACACAGACAAAATAATTTGAATACATTATAGCCGATTTCCACTCCGACAAGTACAGTAGCGAGCTTAGTTATAGGACAGTTGACAGTAAACAGGTTAGGTTTAAAAAGTACATTTTTATATTTTCAAGGTCGAACGCGAACATATCGCACTAAGCCCGCTTGTTCACACGAGCGGCGAGCTTAGTTGCGGGCGGCGGGAGACGCGCGGGGGCGGGGGCGGGGGGGGGGGGGGGTTAACACTTCGAACTCGCCGAAAAATAGCCCGGCCGGCTATCTCGTTCAACTTAATTGTTACTTAACTCACTAATTGACGTTCAAGCGAGATTTTTACTTAACTCGCCAGGTTTGCAAGTTAAAAAAGTCTATAAAAGTCCTCTGTTGGAAAAAGGCCTCCTCCATTGATAGTCTCATAGTCGGGATTTTGCCATAGTTGATTTTTAAACGTGGTAGAGTAGTCATGCTACAGCTATATATTTTTTATAAGAAAAAGGGGCAAAAAGGACTGCGACTTGAAGTGTCGACCACCGCCCACGAACAGCCGCACCACCGGGGGAATTATAGGTGTGTTGCCTGCCTAAAAAAGGAGAAATCTCATTTTTTGAAGATCCCCAAGTCGTATTGATCCGGAAAAATCACCGGTGGTAAACGATTCCACAAAGCAGTCATACGAGAATGAAAACTCCTAGTGAATCGCGCAGTAGTGAACCGTCAAGTATCTAGATGATGTGGATGGTAACGTGAGTGTTGTCGCGATGTGCGTTCGTGAAATTTAGCGGCTGGAATTAATCCGAACATTTCCTCAGAGGATTCCTCGAGGTGGTAAGACATGCAGGAAGTCGATGGATGGATAGCTCAGAACCGTGCTTTGTGGTATTCCTTGGGGGAAGCCTATGTTCAGCTGTGGACTTATGAAGGGCTGTAATGATGATGATGATGATCATGATGATTGCCTGATATAAATGCGATAGAAAATGCAAAGGGATGAAACATCTCTACCCAGCGCCAGTGAATCGAGCCGATCGGAGAGAACCCAATCGTCGACGATTCGAGCCGCTCTGCGCTGGATGCGGTCAAGTGGAAAGAGCTGGCACTGGGGAGCCCCGGCCCAGAGATGACAACAGTATTCCATGTGAGGCTGTGCTTACTAATATCCCTTTGTATTTCCTAGTATGTTCGAGCGATAATGAAATATTATGAAAACGTCCCGCAATAGCAACTTTCGCTGGTCGCTGGACGCCATTCTGTGATCCTTCGTGATCCTTCCCCGGTCGAGCCGCCACATTCGTGCCACAACCACATATATAGCTGCATCGTAGCTCTACTACGTGTAAAAGTATTACCTATTGTACTAACTAATATTTTCCTTTTGTATTTCCTAAATATTATTTTCTTTCAATTTCATATAACAGTCACTTTTCAGTACATTGCTTATTCTATATAGCTTTTCTATAAGAGCTACCACGTCTCATAGAACATACGACGCAATGTATTACGAAGTTACTATCATTTTGATGTCAACAAAGTAAGAGAATAGACCTGTTGATCATTTTAAAATTACAGATTACTTCGCCATACGTCGAAAGACAAATAAGAATACCAGCGTAAAATAACATCTCAACACTGCTGTGTTTTGTATGGTGAGTGTAGAGAACCGGAGACCCTTTTTACTGGAAACGAGGCATTCCATCTTAGTCCTCACGGGTGACAACGCATCTGTATTTAAATTAGTAATTGAGGATAGCTGTAGATGTAGATGTCTGTGGCCCACAGTAGCCACTTACCATCGGGGGCTGTGTGCTCGCTTGTCATCATTATCCTATAAAAAAGACAAAATCTTTCTAACATTTTCTATAGTCAGAATTTAGTTGCTGATGAAGATGAAAAGGAAGATTAACCCATGGACACCTGCAGCCAACATCAAACAGAGAAGGCTCCAGATGCGTTGTCACCTGTGAGGACTAAGATGGAACGCCTCACAGCCTGTCATTATACTGGCTCTCTGTACCCTGTAGACTGGAATACAGCAGTGCATGCACTGCTATTTAACGGCTCTGCTATTTGACTACCTCGTTACCCTAGTGGTCGTAACACGCGATTGCTGATCATGAGGTCCTAGGTTCGAATCCCGGGTCGGGCCAAAATGAGTTTTTCTGTTAAAAAAAATTGCATAGCAGCCCGGAGACAGAAAGTTGGCGGTGGTTCACGCCCGTGCCTCGGAAAGCACGTAAAGCCGTTGTTCCTGCGCCTGTGTACCTAGTGCGAGATTTTGTTTTTACGCATTCGATATCGAGAACGTTAACTACGATTTGTATGGAATAAAATCAGCGCCAACTAATGGCAATAATCGGAATCACAATTCATTATTTGGCGGATTCGTGGCGCAGTGGCTTAGCAATCAGTTGCTGCACTGGGGGCCGCGGGTTCGAATCCCGCACGGAACAAGTATTTGTATGGCCTACAAATAATTGTTCCGGGTCTGGATGTATGTCCTTGTGCAATTTATGTTTGTAAACTGCCTCCACGATACAGGAGAAAATCCTAGTGTGGGGGTATACGTTTTTATAAAAAAAAAATTATTAGTTTATGTATCGTAATTTGATCAAGGTTTTGACAGTTTGTGTTAAGTGTTATGAGATTGAGAATTAGCCATTTTATTTTTAAGTAATTAATAATAATTATTGAAAGTATTAAATTGAAAGCAAAAAACATGAATATGTTTTCATTCTAATATGATTTTATGTTGACATTTATGAAGCAGTAAATGGAATTTAGTTACTTACTGTTAAGTGAACTTATGATACTTACTTACTACTGACTTAATTATTAAATATTGATGGTAGGAACTTGAATTTATCAAACGCTATTTACACAAAAACTTGAACACTTTCTTTGAATCCATTATTAACTGCCAGCTCATGCGGTACCTTGAGGATCACCAGCTGATTAGTGACCGCCAATACGGTTTTCGTCGGGGTCGATCAGCTGGTGATCTTCTGGTCTACCTGACCCATAGATGGGCGGAGGCAGTAGAGTCCAAGGGGGAGGCGTTGGCCGTTAGTCTGGACATTGCGAAGGCCTTCGATCGGGTTTGGCACAAAGCGCTTCTTTCGAAGCTCCCTTCCTATGGGCTTCCCGAGAAATTGTGCAATTGGATCACCAGCTTCCTTGTAGATCGGAGCATCAAGGTCGTTGTAGACGGTGCATGCTCTGACTACAAGCCTATTAACGCTGGCGTTCCACAAGGCTGTGTGCTATCACCAACGCTGTTTCTTCTGCATATCAATGATATGTTGCTAACTGGTAACATTCATTGCTATGCGGATGACAGCACTGGTGATGCTCTATACACCGGCCGTGCCAATATTTCTCGGGAAAACGTCGCTGAGTACCGGAACAAACTTGTGTCTGAAGTCGAGTCTTTGCTGAACAAAGTCTCGGATTGGGGGCGACTAAATCTAGTCCAATTTAATCCTCAAAAGACACAAGTTTGCGCGTTTACCGCTAAAAAGAACCCCTTTGTCGTATCTCCTCAGTTTCAAGGCACTCCCCTTCTTGCCTCAGCCAGTATCGGTATCCTCGGAGTCGACATATCGAGTGACGTGCAGTTTCGTGGTCACTTGGAAGGGAAGGCCAAATTGGCCTCTAAAAAGCTTGGCGTGCTCAGCAGAGCGGGACAGTATTTCATGCCGGCACACCGCCTGCTACTTTACAAGGCGCAAGTTCGGCCTCACATGGAATACTGTTCCCATCTCTGGGCAGGGGCTCCCCAGTGCCAGCTCCTTCCACTTGACCGCATCCAACGCAGAGCGGCTCGAATTGTCGACGACCGAGCCCTTTCCGATCGGCTCGATTCATTGGCACTGCGAAGAGATGTTGCATCCCTTTGCATTTTCTTTCGCATCTACCACGGGGAGTGCTCTGAGGAATTGTTCGGATTAATCCCAGCCGCCAAATTTCACGAACGCACATCGCGGCAGAACTCCCGATACCATCCACACCATCTGGATGATTGGCGGTCCACCACTGTGCGATTTAGAAGATGTTTTCTTCCTCGCACGACCTCCTTGTGGAATCGATTACCATCAGCGATTTTTCCGGACCGATACGACTTAGGGACCTTCAAGAAAAGAGCGTACTCCTTTCTAAAAGGCCGGCAACGCATCTGCGATTCCCCTGGTGTTGCAGTTGTTCATGGGCGGCGGTAGTCACTTACCATCAGGTGAGCCGCATGCTCGTTTGCCCGCTCTCCTATAAAAAAAAAAGGCGATATCTATCCTTAAATTATTTGTCATTGGGGTGTAACAACGGACTAAAATATGCACAAGCACTTGCTTCAACACTGGCTTTATAATAGCAGTCATCTATTATTTTTAGTTATTAATGCCTTTGTGGCTGCAAACATCCTCCTAACGAAAAAAAAACATCCTGCCTAAATTATATATCGTTCTCACAAAACGAAATAAAATTAACTCTTCAACAATTATTCTCACTCTTCTATCTCACTGTAAAAATTTAGGTGAATACTTTTTCGATATCGACCGCGTAAAGTTTTACGTCTCGAATGATCGAAATTGCCGCTCCAACCAATCACGTGCGTTAACGTTCTCACTGTCGAATGAGAGTAAATGCTCGATGGTGATTGCGATTATTGCCACTAGATGGCGCTAATTTTATTCCATACAAATTGTAGTTAACTTTCTCGGTATCGAGTGCGTAAAAACAACATCTCGCACTAGGCACACTGATCTCTCTCCGGTCGTGTCGGGTTACCGTCCCATCGGACTATGAGAGTGAGGCAATATAGTGCACCTATGCTTGCGTATACAATCGTGCACTATAACCCTGTCATGCGCCGATAGCTAGTCCCGTTGAGACCGGCTACCGTGACCAAAATTCGGTCTGAAGGGCATTATTATTATTATTTTACGGCTGAAATAGACAAGAGAGTGGCTATCCAGACTAAATCCTAGGAAGAAATGCACTCCTACCACCTGCTAGAACAGTATATAATAAATCTGAGATGCACCCAGCAGTAGGTCATTTACTCACCACCAGTTGATCGAAGCGGTGCTTCAGATTCTTGTGCTGCGCCAATCCCCTCTTGCCGATGAAGGAGTTTCCGCACAACTCACACACGAAGTCCGACGGGTGCTTTATTCGCACATGACTCAGGTACGTGGTGAATTTGCTGAAAATTAGCAACCAATTAGAATAGGTCTCAGGAATGAGAGGAGGCCTGTGGCCAACAGTGGGACGTGTATAGGCTGTAACTTTACTTTTTTTTAGTGTACTTTAGAGCAGGTTCCATACATGAAGCGTCTCATAACTTCAAATTTCTTTCCTGCTTTTTGAAATTAACAATGTGAAGTAATTAAAGGTGCCGTTGTAGCTCATAAACTAAGCGCTCGCTGTTAATTTCACAGCCGAGTTCGATTCCCGCCAGCACCAATGAAATTGTTAATTAGAATATTAAGTGCTGATATACTGCGTGCTCTACGATAAACGGAAACATCGTGAGGAAACCTGCATGTCGTAGAAATTAAAAAAAAATATTTCGAAGACATGTGAAGTTCGCCAACAGGCATCGGGGCAGCGCGGCGGACATTTCCTTGCCCTAACACCCTCTCAGAAATGAGAGGAGGCCCGTGCCCAGCAGTGGGACGTATATAGGCTGTAACTTTAACTTTTAACTTTTTAGAACAGGTTCCATACATTCGTCAGACTGTAAAAATCCACCGCTGGTCGTATAAGGACGAATAGAGACATTATAAAAGTCATTGAATTTATTAATTTATGCTTAATTTATTATAATTTTTTTTATAGGTTCGGGTGACAAACGAGCACACAGTCCACCTGATGATAAGTGGTTACTGTGACCCATAGACATCTACATCTATCCTCAATAAAGACTCAAGATGCAGATGCGTTGTCACCCGTGAGGACTAAGATGGATTGCCTCTTTGCCAGTAAAAAGGGTCTCCGGTTCTCTACACTCACCATACGAAACACAGCAGCGTTAAGCTGCTATTTTACGCTGGTTTTCTGTGAGAGCGTGGTCCTTCCCCGTTCAAGCCGACCCATTCGTGCTACAACCATAATATAGCTGCAGCATGGCTCTACCACGTATAGCTAAAATATATAATAAACGCAGAGGCTAAATAGGCCCGAAGTGAAGTACTTTGTTCATTTGATCATAACATAAAAAGTATATAATAAGATCATATAATATACGTACTTGCAGGCCTTATCTATCAATTGTTAAAATGTTTACTAAGCAAAAATTGTTTAATAAGGGTTATTATACTACTAAAGAGTATGTACATGGTTGATAACAAACCCTGGGAATGAGGTGATCGCTACCGTGCTATTTCTAAAGTTCTTCCCAGTACAGACGTTTTTTTCCGAACCAGTGGTAAAGTTTAAATGGCTTGCAATAAGTTTTCTTGTAATTGACATTGAATAAAAATGATTCTATTCTATTCTAATCTATTCTAAAATAAAAATCTACAGCTGAACATAGGCGGCCATAAATTGCCATCTAAGAGAGTCCATTACCCTGTATCATCATTTGAGTGTCGTTAGAAGCAACAGAGGTAAACTGAAAGAGGAGATGGGCAGCAGCGTCTTCCTGATAACAGCATAATAATAATATAAGTAGCGGCACGAAAGTCTAGCGGTGACCGTTATTGTGCATAAGTCGCGCCGATTGGCTCGTGCGTATCGTTCGCACGCGCTGATTGGCTCTCCAGTCGCATTCCTGCAATTTAATTCGTGCGCGTCCCCTCCACGTTTCGTTTAGCGCTAGACTTACGTGCTGCGACTTGTAAAAACCGTTGACAATTCGGTAGAGACACGTGTTCAGCAGTGGACTTTTGATAGGTTGTAATGCTAATGGTGATAGATTTCCTGTTAGGAGATTTTACGTGGTAGAGACACGGTGCAACTATAATATCGTTGTAGCATGACTGAGTCGCCTCAACCGGGGAGGAACCACGCTCTCACTCAATGTAGCACCACAATGCTGCTGTGTTTCGTATGGTGAGTGTGGAAGATCGAAGATCCTTTTTACTGAAAACGAGGCATTTTATCTTAGTCCTCATGGATAACAATGCATCTGCATTTTGATTATTAATCGAGGATGGACTTAAATGTCTATGAGTCACAGCATTCACTTACCATCAGGTGGACTGTGAGCTCGTTTGTCAACATTATTCTATAAAAAAAAAAATAAGCTCACACGAAATTTTCAGGGCACTGCGGACATTGGTACTTGGTGCCGTTATGGTAGGCCTCATGCATCTTCGCCGTGTCTCTGTAACAATAATGAACACAACAATTTACTTGGTGGTAGATAATTGTGTAGTGGCGGTGTAAGAATATCCACTACCCCATATCGTTCCGTGGATGTCGTATTGCTGGGGCCAAACTTACGGGAAATGCCGTTAATTATCGCGTAGATGGACGTTGAATGTAGGTGAGTCCACAGCTTAACGCGTTAATTTGACAACGGCATTAACAATGCCGTTTGCCGTTTGGCGATAACTCGAATAGCGGTACATCAAAGAGGTTAACGCACAAAATAACGCGTTGAGGCAGCCACACTACGTTTGTCTCATTGTGCACGGTGAGCGCAACGGGGTCGCACGTATGGCTATGATGGAGTGGAATCATGAAAAAGTTATTACGTTTCTTGAGACGTTATTTGATGTTAATGAGTAAATATATTCATATAATAAAAATTTACGTCTATCTTGCTTGGAATTCAAGGAACATTAACGCCAACTTAACGCCGTTCAGTGGCATTGAAACTGAAATGACGTCGACCGTTCAAGTGTAGCCACTCACTTTATCGCAACTAAGATAGTTTTAGGACCTTTTGAACAGTATTTGCGATTCGAAAACAGAGTTTATTCTCAAGGTATTAAAGTTCACATTTGCGTGAATTGCAATAATTTGAAATTCTTCCTGCTTAGCGATCACGCCATACCACTGCCCATAAAATATACCACGCAATTTACTAAAAATTTACTAGTTTCGTTTCAACTAATTTAGAGAATAGGCCCGCTGTGACTTGTAAACTTATTAGTCTATAACCCCCTCCGAAAATGGACCACTTTGCCCAGCAGTGGGATATAGTTGGTCTAGTCATCTTAAACGCGACTGCCGATCATGAGATCCCGAGTTCGAATACCGGGTCGGGCAAAAAAAAAAGAATCCGTTAATTACTTTTTCTGTCAAGAATTTCTCAGTAGCTGTCCGGAGTCAAGAAGTTGATTATTTGTGGTGTTTCATCCCCGTACCTCGGAAAGCACTTAAAACCGTTTATTCTCTCTCCGGACGGGTCGACGAGAATGAGGCAATAGAGAGTGCACGTGTACTTGCGCGTACACTTGTGCACTATAATCCTGTCCAGCGCCGATGGCTAGTCTCCGTTGAGGCTGGCCGCCGTGACTGGTCTGGAGGACATTATTATTATTATCTTTATACATAATTCTTCTGGCCATGTGTATGTGACTGAAGTCCTCCTAAACGGTTGGAACGATGATGAAATTTTGTGTGCGTGATTAAATTGATTCGAGAATGATTTAGATTCACAATTGGACCGGGTAGGTGGCACTGCTATCGAGATTCAGAAATCACCTGTGCGACCCCGGAGCGGATCGGTAGTATAGACTATATAACTTAACTTTTACTCACCGTCTGGTGGTCACAAAGGGACAGTTTTTGCAGTTAAACTTCTGCGCGTGGCTAGTCGTGACGTGATACCGCAGTGCACTTCGCTTACTATAGTGAATCTTACAGATATCGCATACGTAAGTGCCGTATTTCTGAAAAGAAAGAAATTTAATCCTGTTGCAATGGTCACGTGTGTTTTTAGAAATATTGGTGTAAGTTTAAGTGGTAGAGCCACGCTACAGCTATATTATGGTTGTGGCACGAATGGGTCGGTTCGACCGGAGAACGACCACACTTTCACAGAATACAAGCGCGAAATAGTAGCTCAATGTTGCTATGTTTCGTATGATGAGTGTATGAACCGTAGACCCTTTTTATTGTATTTGTATTTGTAATATGTGTAATTGTATCCAGCTATCGTAGTCTTCATCTCTTTCATCACACTCTTTAGGGGTGACAACGCACCTGCATTTTGATTCTTAATAGAGGATAGATTTAGATGTCTATGGGCCACAGCATCCACTTACGATTACGGTGTACTGTTACCCTTATACTATATAAAAAATGCCTATGTTGGTATCCAGTGAGAGTGTGGTCCTTCCCTGGTCGAGTCGACCCATTCGTACTACAATTAATATAGCTGCAGCGTGGCTCTACCGTGTGAAAACTGGTGCTGCAAAATTCCAAATAGGAGTGTTGGACTCAGTAGAAAGACATGCTAAGAGGCTCATTGGTGACCTGCGTTTGGTTGATACCAGTCTGCCTCGTACACAATTGAGTTGAAAAGAGTTTTCAGCCGCTCGGTATATATCAGATAGTGGACACAAAAATTACATGTCGCCTCACCTATTTTATCCCTTGGAACAACAGATGGCGGGCCTTCGCCCCTTTGTTGTGGATATTTCACGCATTCTAAACTAAAGGTTGGCTTTGTCTTTCCTTGTACAGCAAAGGAGTCGAATAATTTTCCGGCGACTGTTTTTGTTCCCGATTATAATACGGGAGTCTTCAAGGCTAGAGTGAATAGGCTTTTGTTACGCTAAGACGGTGCGATTTACCATCTAGGGCTGCATCACTACTTACCACCAGGAAGGATTGTGGTCAAGCACTCGCTTATAAGTAAAAAAAAGGCTAGAAACATAAATTAGTAAAAATAAAACCCGAGCCCCGAAATAAAGAGCTGGTGATCTTCAAACGGCTGACAATCTGTCTTAAAACAAAGCTAAGAACAAACTTGATTAAGACACCTTTCAAACGAAAAAAAATCCGTCCAGGAGCTATGATACCACAGACAGACACACAGACACACAGTTGCATATTATATATTTATAACGTAAACAGAGAGAGGTGTGTTATAAGTTGTAATACACCTGTTTTCGTCGGGAGTAAAAAGCAGAAAGAAGGAAATGGCTACTTACATCTGAATGTCGTAACATGTGAGCGCTGAAAGTTTCTTCGTCAATGAACCCTTTATAGCATTCCATACATTTAAAAGGAGAGTTTTGAAAGTTTTTACTGTCTTTCCTTTTCTCTATTTCACTAACTTGATCACTGTATGACAAATCGGTGATACTAAACACTTCGGGGTTCAGCAGTTCCGACGACGGTTTGTTTCTTCCGTCTCTTTTAATCTCTTTCACGGTTTTCTTCTGCATTTCATTAACTGTTTTCATTTTATTACATATAGTATCTGCATCGTCGTCGTTTAAATCTAAAACAGTTTCCTTCACAGCCGTTTCATCATCTGTTACAAATTCGAGTGAATCACTTTCGGAATATCCAAGATTTGTCCACTCGTATGATTCATTGACAATATCTTCTTTTACTTCAGTTTGTATTGGTATCTCTATATGTTTTATTGGATTTATAGAATAATCCTCGTTTGTATTTAAATCACTTTCCTTCATATTCTTTTCATAATCAGTTAGGTATTCTTTAAAATGTTCATGTTTATTCGCTTTACAGACAGTCTTTTCTTTTGCATCAGTCTTTATTGGATCTATATAAGCGTTTTCGTTTGAATCTAAAACATTTTCGTTAATTTCCACTTCATAATCATTTAGATATTTATGTGAATACGTTTGGAACTGTCCAACATTTGGCTGTTTGTTTGGTTCATGGATAACTTCTTTTTTTACTTCAGTTTTTATCGGTTTATCTATATTTGAATCTATATCTTTTACTGGTTCTATATTCATGTTTGTTTGATCATTCACATCTTCCAATAAACTGATCTCGAATACGTTTATGTCGAAATCATTTGGCGTATGTATTACTTGTGTAAGGTTTGACTTTAAGTTCTCCTTTTGCGTGTCGAAAGATTTAAGAGTGTTGAAGCTATATAACTGTAATATAAGTAAATATTATATAAGGTTTATAAAGTATTTAAGACAAGTATTTTCAATGTAACATTATAGATAAGCTTTCAGACGCCCTAAAAATTTTTTTAGATTTTCTTTTTATTCAATTGAAGTGGCAAACGAACTGACAGTCAATATGATGGTTCAAGATGGGATTGCCTCACAGCCTACTGGCTCTATACTCTTGGAAATGGAACACATCAGTTAACGTCGTTCCCGGGCCGAATCGGCCCATTCGTGCTAAACCATAGTATAGCTGCACGACGTGACACTATCACGTTTACTCACGTCGCAATACGTTCGCAAATCCACCTGTCAAACCCTTCCTGTTACATAGAAACATTTAAGTGTAGACTGACTGTTGACATGAAGCCTAATGGACAGCCGAAGGTGACTATCTCTGAAAGCTACATGGTTGTATGTGGCTACACCATACGTTGATGCGAAAATGATACGAATGTATTCCTATATTTTATTAATTTTTATTTAGTTTTGAAAAAACGTTACCCCACACACTAGAATTTTCTCCTGTATCGTGGAGACAGTTTACATACATAAACTACACAAGATTAACAAATATCCAGACCCGGAACGCATATTTGTAGGCCATGTTCCGTGCGGGATTCAAATCCGCGGCCCTCAGCGCTGCTACTCAATGCTAAGCCACTGTGCCTCAGAGCCTTTATGTTCAAAAGGTATCTCATTAATTTCAATGTCCTAACTCCTAACGCCAAAGTATATATACACTTAGCGGCACAATTAATCGCCCACCCTTTTAAAGTGGCAAATTTTGATGTTATCGCAGTTGTAAGTTATTGGGCATGAATAAGTCAAGTGTGAAAGAAATGTAGTAACGAAAAAATTACAAGCTACCCACTTAACTTTGTTTTTTTAAGCATAAGTTGTGAATAGGACAAATATCGAACTTCGTCTCATTATCGTTATCGTCGCCATACTGCTTACATTGCTTCAGTGGCATTAAAAGTAAACAATTTGAGTTTGTTTTGGTTTCGTAACTTAAAGCTAGTGTTTGGACATCACAAACATGCCATTTGATGCTAATTCAGTGGCGAGAGCCGTCGCTCTTATCGACGAAGGGTTTAGTCAGCGTTACGTGGCGCGGAAGCTTGGTGTCGCACGTACTACCTTAAGGGATGCAGTGAAACGGTTTCGGGAAACTAGCTCTTATGAGCGAAGACCAGGACAGGGCCGAAAAAGATGCACCTCCGCTCGTGACGACCGATTTCTTGTGACCAATGTTCTAAGAAATCGGTTCACTACAGCTGTTGAGGCACGAAACCAACTTCGTGAGGTTCGCAATGTGAGTGAAAGAACAGTGAGAAGAAGACTAGGAGAGAATGGCCTTGGAGCTTTTCGACCATCTCGAGTGCCACAATTACTCGTAAGGCCACCGGAGAGAAAGACTTCGTTTTTCCCGAGAGCACGCCGAATGGAATATGGAACAATGGAAGAATGTTATGTTTACTGACGAGACAAGAATATGCTTGCACGGTCCTGACGGTCACCAGCGTGTATACAGACGCAAGAATGAAAGGTGTGCACCATGTACTGTTGTGGAAACAGTAGGTTACCAAGGTGGCTCTATCATGATATGGGGCGGCATTAATTACGAAGCACGCACCGACTTGGTTATCTTCGAAAGAGGTGGAATAAATGCTCAGAGGTATGTAACAGAAGTATTGGAACCTCATGTAATGCCATTTGCTCCATTTATTGGCGAAGATTTTTTATTAATGCAGGACAACGCTCGCCCCCACTTTGCTAGAGTTGTTACCGCGTACCTGGATACCGTCGGCATTCGAAAATCAACATGGCCATCCCGGAGCCCAGATTTAAATCCTATTGAACACATATGGGACAATTTAAAAAGACGTGTTCGAAGCCTACCAGCATACCAGCGAAGCATACCAGCTCCAACCACCATAGATGAATTAAAACAATCCGTGATTGAGGAGTGGCAGAACATTCCACAACAACAGATCAAAGATGTCATCGACAGCATGCCAAACCGTTTGATGGAAGTTATGAGGGCTAGAGGTGGAAATACGCACTATTACAATTCATTTATTCGGCAGATTTTTTATTTTTAAGCCATTTCATCACATTTGTTAATTTACGGTCAGTGTTTTTCAGACTTTTTTATAAATAAACGTAATAATTAAAAACAATATTATCTTTCATTTTACTTCAATATACCTACGTTATAAAATAACATTCACAAGTAAAGCCACAATTTTTTTTAACCAAAATCGTAGAAAATCAAGGTGGGCGGTTAATTGTGCCGCTGAGTTTATATATATATATATATGTATATATCCTTATCCTATTAAATTCCCATCTTCATTACAAGAAAAACAGAACGCAACGCATCTTACGTAGATAATCGGCGCCAGCGCCACTCAATAACTTAAAAAACGAGTGAACTCCCGCGACACAAATGCCATAAATAAATAATTAAAATAATAATTTCGCTTTAAATCAAGTGGCAACTTGTTTCATTGTGTAATACAAGAAAAGAAAACCGCCTACATCAAGCAACAGAAAAACTGTAAGAAATTCTGCTGGCCTATGGTCACGTGGTTCTTCCTCATAAACTAGGAGCATCTCAATCCCACATTTCCTACCCTAACGCATCATACGCACCACCATACTTACATAGCATTTATCACCGACCAACTTCCTCAGCACCATTTCAGCGTGGTTCGCGCGATCCACGAATTTTCTACACAAGACAAGTCTATGCCTGCATTCCCAGCACAGCATTTTTGGAAGTCCATCTGTTAGGTTAACCTATAATAAAAAATAAATTATAAAAAAACAATCAATCTTGGACAGAATTGTAGGTGAGAGTCACAAAACTATACATGTCATCAGTTTTTAATACCTCTGGAAAATTTTAGGTTATTCAGACGTCAGAAAGGAAGTGAAAACTAAGTTAACATCCAACAACAACCAAAAAGTGGACTGTGTGACAAACGAGCACACTGTCAACCTGACGGTAGTAGATGCTGTGGCCCATGCACGTTTACATTTATCCTCGATTAAGAATCAAAATGCAGATGCGTTGTCACCCCTGAAAACTAAGATGGAATGCTTCATGTCCAGTACAAAGGCTGTTGAAGCACCTGCGAGTTAAGCAAAGTAATTACGTCAGCAGATTATAGCTCCTTAAAATGTTTTATTACCGTCTTAACTATTGTTTTTTTTTTATATAATAGTTATTTTTTTAGTTAATAGAATAAGGGTGACAAACGAGCACACAGTCCACCTGATGGTAAGTGGTTGCTGTGGCCCATAGACATCTACATCTATCTTCGTTTGCGAATTAAAATGCAGATGCGTTGTCAACCGTGAGGACTAAGATAGAATGCTTCTTTTCCAGTAAAACGTGTCTCCGGTCCTCTACACTCACCATACGAAACACAGCAGCATTAAGCTGCTATTTAACGCTGGTATTCTGTGAGAGCGTGGTCCTTTCCCGGTCGAGCCGTCACATTCGTGCTATAGCTAATATAGCTGCAGCAAATGCATGCAGAATCACAGTAGTTAATGTAGTAATATAACGTTTTTCATTGTCAGTCATCGCAGTCAACCAGTGGGGTGTACGAGACCTGATGATATTTACAACGAGCGCTAAGTCCTTTGAGCAACAATGGCTCTCATAGTAATCGTGCTGCGAACATAATATTGCTGCAGCACATGAGTAAATAAACCGTACAGAGAAAAAGTTTCTAAGGAGCTGTCTACATTTTTACCTTTTTTGGTTTTATTACCAATATTTACAATGATTCTTTCAAGATCAAAATATTTGCAAAATGTTTGCTCAATCAATTCACACATTCATTTCAGCACCGTCATGTATCAGCAAGTTGAGTGTTGGAAAAGAATATCCAAATAAATATTTTACAGGTCTTTTTGTACAAAACTTAATACAGGATTTTTCGAAGTGGTCCTCACAGAGTTCATATTATTGCCTCTTTTATAATAAAAAAGTTTTGAAAGGAGATCTTCTCGTCCGACAGCTTTTAACCACTCTTGCCCTCTGAAATAACAATAATTTAAAAAAAAACAAGAATCTACTTTATATAAACATTATAAAAATAACTATTCAATCACTTATAGGTAAGTAGTTCACTTATATGTGAGTTATCTATCTACCACATTAAAAATAATAAATTATAGTCAAGTTACTACTTACCTAGTGGAGTCTTTGGGATAATTAAAAAAATAGTATATTTTTATTATTACTCTTCATACAAGCAGTACAGTAAACCATAATAACACTTTTTTATAGTTCATGTGACAGGAATAATTCTTTAAAAAATAAAATTTTACACTTATTATTCTTTACACAACCCTGAGTTCGAGCACTGGCCGAGCCGGTTTAAAGCAGTTTCTCTCTGTACGTGACGGGCCGCCAGTGCTTACTCACACACGCGCCTCAAGCTTGTAGTAGTGTAACTATCATAGCGCGGTTGTATGAAGCTTTGCCTCTGTACGGTACGGTTTCTTTACTCATGTGGCTGCAGTGTGCCTCTACTACAACCTAAGAAGAACACACAGTCAATCATCGCGTTTGATGTTGTCGGAAAAGCCGAAATAAACAATAAATTGCTAGGGTTGTCAGAACGGGAAGTAATAAAAAATATAAAAAACTGATTTTATTTTATTTCACTTTTAAACAAATTAATGTATATGTGGAAACTGATGAAACTTTTTTTAATTCCTTATCTTTAAATGAGGACGACCCACAGTTTTTTACCGCACATGTAGTGTGAACCATTTTAATTTATTTGCGTGACGGTACAACCCTAGCGGACAGCGCCCACGTCTGGGCACCGCAAGATTGCTCCGTCTAGGCTCGTTCGATAACCGACTGTTACTAGTAGTTAGACTGTGACTCTACTACGTAGGAAAACTGCGCGCAAATCACACCACAATTGTGTAATCGGTATTTAATGTAAATCACATATCTGGCTGGAACTGTACTATTTACAAGTTAGTGAATCAAATGAAATATATTCTGAAGAAATAGCAACTGTACCGTTAAACCTGTGACATCTTCATAGGCCGTTCTGAGACTGCTTCTGCACAGACTGTACATTTTTCTGTCGGTCGCTAAGCAGATTCTGCACACCTGGAACTGAATGGAAACGAAATGTCAATATCATTTCTAAAAACAGCAACAGAACACACACACACACGCACGCACGCACGCACGCACGCACGCACGCACGCACGCACATAGCCGCGCATCCTGTAGAAAACTGATAAGCTGGCTACTTTACGTATTTACCTAGATGTTGCATCTCTTTGCGTATTTTATCACATCTATAACGGGGAGTGCTCTGAGGAATTGTTCGGACTAATTGCAGCTGTTCAATTTCACCATCGCACATCGCGACAAAACTCGCGTTACCATCCATACCATCTGTATGATTGACGGTCCACCACTGTGCGAATTAAAAGAAGTTTTCTTCCTCACATAACTTCCTGGTGGAATCGATTACCACCAGCGTTTTTCCGGACCGATACGACTTAGGGACCTTCAAGAAAGGAGCCTACTCTTTTTTAAAAGGCCGGTTCTTCCCAGGACAGAGGTTTTTTTTCGAACAATGGTAAAAGTTAAAAATATGAATTAAATGAAATCAATATTGAATAAAAATTATTCTTTTCTATAACGTTGGCATATTTACACTACCAATGTTGGAAATTAGATGTCAAAATAATATAAAATTCATTATTTACATATAAATTAATATATTTGTTTATACATACGTCAACTACTTCATTTTGGGGCGTCCTGGATTCAGTAGACCGCTCCATGTCAGATGTTCCCTTAAATAACATATAATATAAGTGAATACATTTAAATTAAATGAACATGTGTATGTGGTAGAGCCAAGCTGCAGCTATATTTAAAATATAGTTGTAGCACGAATGGGTCGGCTCGACCGGAGAAGGACCACGCTCTCACAGAATACCAGCGTAAAATGGCAGCTTAATACTGCTATGTTAAGTATGGTGAGTGTAGAGAACCGGAGACCCTTTTAAAGGAAAAGAGGCATTCCATCTTAGTCCTCACGGCTGACAACGCATCTGCATTTTGACTCGCAAACGAGGATAGATGTAGATGTCTATGGGCCACAGCAACTACTTACCATCAGGTAGACTGTGTGCTCGTTTGTCAGTTTTGTTCTATAAAAAACATCAATAAAAGTACCAGATATAGGCCTTCTTACTTCTTTCTCATTATTTTAACCTACTTCTAAAATGGGGAATGTACTCAATTCAGATGTATTTTTTTATGTGTCGTCGAAATCGGTTTACCTAGAAAAAAGGCCTGAGGTAACAGAACTGTTTTCTAGGTGAACCAATTTCGATAATTATTTTTAAATGAAATCTGGTGCTTCTTATGTGGTCCCATGTAAATTTGATCACGGTATGATCAATAATTTTTGAGTTATCCTTAATAATAGATATTGAAGTCGGTTTTACAAATTATTTAATTTTATATTATGTTGTAAAAAGATCAAATTTTGCTTTATATTATGGCGTTTGATAATTTTGGTTAGCTCATAATAATTCTCATAACAATTCTCATAATAATTCTTACACTCGATAAAGTACCTCGTTGCGCGTCTTCCCGCGCCCTTCTACCGTTACACCATAAGTGCCTATGTCTGTTCACCCGGTCTATACATAAATATGTACATCCTACAGCTGGGCACAGGCCTCCTCTTTCTGAGAGGGTATCAAGACAAGGAAGTGTCTGCTACGCTGCCATCATGTGTGTTGTCAGATTTCACATGAATGCCAAATATTTATAATTACTCAGCAGAGAATGTGGCAAAATGACTCATGAGTTATGATGGGATATAACTATAAAACTATGGGATATATAACTATAAAAGTCCACTGCTGAACATAGATAGGACTATCTTATAGATTGCTACATGGGGGAGACTTTGCCATAACCACTACTCTTGGCAAGCGGGTTGGCAACCGCAGTGCTTATTATTTAGAGTTGTTACTAGGAAGACTCTGCTGCCCATCACCTGGTTTGTTTCCCTCTGTCACCTCTTACGACATCCTTGGGACGACTCACCAAGTCTAATCGCTATTTATTTCGAAACTCAAGACTGCGAGCAAAGAACCTGGGCTTCCAATTCTGTTGGGTACGCAACGGAGGGATCTATATCAAACAAGCAGAGAACAAACCAGCTATCCGTATTCTTTCCCACGAAGACCTGGATACCAAAATTGGCCCCGAAAAAGCAAACCAACTGTCCTAAAAGTGATATTTTATTTTTTGTTAAATTTACCGTAATCAAACACAATAGACTTATTACAATTTCTATTACTAGAACATGCATATACACTTTCACACACAAAACGCACCACACCAACATCACACTACACAATCATCATTCCCGATTGTTCTGGCTCTCAATTAATGACTACTGTCCAAAATCACTCTTGCAGTTAGTAGAATTATTTATTATTAAGCGAAAAAATGTGTGACTTTCATGTTGACATAGACGAAACTTTGACAGTAAAGTGTCATTCCATTGAGAGCCTAGAGCAATGTCGTAATTTATTACCCGTAGGTGTCGACTTTAAAGTTTTAAATGTCAATATTAGGAGCCTCCAACACAATTTTGACGGTTTTTTGATTTCGTTAGCCCGACTTAATGTTGATCCAGATGTGGTTATACTAACGGAGTGTTGGCTTGGTGTAAACCCCACGATTCCACAAATTCCAGGATATATTTCCTTTTACACAAAAAATAATCTTAATAAAAGTGGAGGTGTCACCGCATATGTTAAAGATTCATGGAGTGTAATATCTTCAGAACCGTTAAGTGATCAGTGCGATTGCCTAAACTTAAATTTATATAAACAAATTACTATTCTAGGGATATATAGGTCTCCCTCTATTAAGAATGTGAATAACTTTCTAGCCTTTCTCGATAAATCATTATCGGAAATTAACAACAAGCATGCCGTGGTGTTGACAGGTGACTTAAATATAAATATAAACGGAGACCCACTTGATGATCAGTGCTCCGAGTATCTATGCTTGTTAGCAAGTCATCAACTGCTCTCTGCTATCTCTGAGCCTACCAGGGGCTCGGCCTGCCTGGACCACATCTTCGTTAGGGGTACAGATTCTGCTGTTGGTATAGTGTGCCATGCAGATCTTACTGATCATGACATTTGTTTACTTGGTACTACTATCAACCAGGCGAATCACCCATCTCGAAACCACGGTAAGTTAAAAATGGATTTTAATCGGATTGTTAACAAGCTTGAGTCGACTGATTGGTCATTGATAATGAATATGGAAGACGCTAACGAGGCAGCTGATAATTTTAACTCAATCTTAGAAATGGCAATAAACGAAAACACAAGTTATGTGGTGCCCAAACGATCAGAACGAGTTATAAAGCCATGGATAACTCCAGGCTTAATGAGATGCCAAAAACACCGTGACAGTCTCCATCTCAAAGCCAGGAGAAACCCTTACAATACATTTATTCAAATAACTTATAAACGTTACAGAAACTTCCTTTACGCGCTACAACGAAAATTAAAGACCGAATACGAGAATAGCCAAATTCAGCAAAATAAAAATAACCCAAAAAAATTGTGGAAAACGCTCAAAAATATATGTAATCTCTCACGTAACACTACCGAGGCTACTGAATTGTTGTCAGTAGACAAAGACCCAGATTCTTCTTTAAACGCTTGTAACGAGTACTTTACTAGAGTTGGCAGAGAACTGGCTGATGACACGCTCAGTAGATTAAACACCCAAGAAGACCTGTTAGCTGCAGAATACAAACCAAGAGTGCTTTGCAAGGACTCCCTTTTTCTGCAGCCAACGGATCCTTATGAAGTTGGTACCCTAATTGACCAGCTAAAAAATGATACTGCACCAGGTATCGACGGCTGCACCCCAAGGTTAATTAAACACATAAAAAACACAGTTCTGCAACCACTTACCCACATATTTAATCTTAGCTTGTTATGTGGCATTTTTCCTAATTGTTGGAAATTAGCAGTTGTTACTCCAATACACAAAGATGGGGATAAAAACTGTCCTAGCAATTACAGGCCCATATCTTTGCTAAGTATATTTTCCAAGTTACTGGAAAAAATTGTAAGCAAGCGCCTCACCAACTTTATAGAAAATAATAATCTGCTCTCTGTAAATCAATTTGGCTTCAGGAGGGGTAAGTCCACGGAGGATGCGGTAGTCCTACTGACAGATGCTGTGTCTAGATATTTGGACAATAAACGCAGCTGTTTAGGTATCTTCCTAGATCTTGCTAGGGCCTTCGACACCGTGTCGGTACCTATACTACTGCGGAAGCTTGAAACAAAAGGAATTAGAGGAGTGGCGTTGGCTTGGTTCCGTAGCTATCTCTTAAATCGGCGTCAATGTATAAGAGTGGGCTCACATACAAGTAAGCAATTAAAAATCAGTATTGGAGTTCCTCAAGGAAGTATTCTTGGTCCAATCCTATTCTGTATTTACATTAACGACGTCCTAGAATTACCCATACAAAGAGCTGACGTCATATGCTATGCGGACGACACAGCCATTATATTTAACGATTTAACTTGGGACAGCGTACTAGAGACGGCTCAAAAAGGCATGGTAGTGTTGAATAAATGGTTAAGTTCCAATTTACTAACTCTAAACTATAAAAAAACTAAGTTCATAGCCTTTCACAAAACTCTCGCATCAAAACCATTTTCGCCGGTAAACTTAGTAATTCACACTTGCGAATCTGAAGTTCCCTCTTGCGGATGTAATATAATCAGCAACACAGATAACATCAGGTATCTAGGAGTGATCATTGATGATAAGCTATCATTTAAAAACCATCTAAGCTGCTTGTCGGGTAGTGTTAGGAAAACCATTTACATAATGAAAGCTTTGCGACGCTGTGCTACTAAAGAAACAATGAAAATGGTTTACAAAGCACTAACCCAATCCCTACTATACTACTGCACGCTGGCTTGGGGTGGAGCTATCAAAACAAAAATGCTTGAAGTCGAGAGGGCCCAGCGAGCAGTACTAAAAGTAATGCTGTCTAAAAACTTTAGATTTCCAACTGACGAACTGTACAAGGAATGTAAGGTGCTACGTGTTCGCCAAATCTACATTTTAAAGGCAGTTATTCTAACCCACAGAAAAATAATAAATTCCCCGGATTATCTTAACCTGTGCCAACGTCGGATCTTTCGAGTACCGATTCCCAATCCACACAGTAGCTTTATCAAACGCCACTCACCATTTCTTCTGCCTAGCATTTACAACAAATTCTGCCATCTCTTCCCAGATTTGAGGTCTTTGTCCACAAGTAAAGTCAAACACAAAATAACAACCTGGTTGCTACATGCTTCTTATCAGGAAACGGAAAACTTACTTTCCTTTCATAGTTGACCCTATACATGCACACGCGTAGACTTACACTCACTCACACACACGCGCAAGCACGCAACCCCCCCCCCCCATACACACAAACACACACACACACACACACACACACACGCACACGCACGCGCACACGTAAATTAGCTGTTTTTTTTTCTTTCTTTCATGCATTAATTTATACAAAAAAAAAAAATGTTTTCTTTTCTCTTTATTTTAATTTAATCGGAGTTCTATGTATTCATCGGTGTAAACGGTGTCAATCAAGGTTCTTGGTTCCTGCGATACAAGCCTAGAGCTTAGTGCAGAAACCAGTGTATTGCTTAATTATGTAATGTTTTTTGGTTAAATAAATACATTTCTATTTCTATTTCTATTTCTATATAGGGTAGTGGATATTCTTACACCGCCACTACATGGTTAATGCGTAATTATTATGTATATTGATTATATATCTATTGGAAGACTGAAAACAAACATGCAGTATGGACAAGTGATCTGGAATACAAAACATTAATAAATCAGTGACGTAGATTTGGTAGGAATGGGGGGGGGCCATAGCGTCTGGGTCTTTTGGACATAATTTAAATAATATCAGTAAATCGAAAAAAACATCTGAAAATTGGCTGTTATTAAACACTTTTCATTTAAATATTACTAACACGGTAGCATTAAAAGTTTTAAAATTAGAGATGATCTCTACACACACAATAATTTCTACAATAGAGTTAGGTATAGAAAAATTTTATGTTATTATGTTTTATTTATCTATACAAATAAATAAAATTGAAGTTTGTTTGTAATGTCAAAATAACTTTTTAAAAAATGCATATGAAAGTAATCAAGGTACTTATAACAAAAACAATTTTAAATATTTTTGTATATCTGTTTGTTCCAGCTAATTTCCGAAATGGCTGAACCGATTTTGACGGGACTTTCACTAGCAGATAGCTGATGTTATAAGGAGTAACTTAGACTACCTTTATTTTAGAATAAGAAATAGGATCCTACGTGAAAAAATCAAAACCCTAAATTACACGTGGGCGAAGTAGCGCAGAACATCTAGTTTTTAAATAATATACAAAGACAACATACAGAATACTTTTATCGATATTTAAATTGAAAATTAGGGGTTTATGGTTGGATTTTTTAATAATAACCACGGGCTGCAGTAACCTATACTATGCCACCGTAACATAAATAATTACAATTTAGTTATATACAAAATTTGACCTGCTCAAATTTCAAAAACATTATTAAACTAAGTTTGTATAAAGAGGGTTATTATACTAATTTATGAATTTGAATTTATGGATGACAATAACCCCTGGGAATGAGGTGATCGCTACATGATTGTAAGCTGTTATTTAAAAAAAAAAGTCCTACTGGGTTTCTTGCTGGTTCTTCCTAGGAGAGGTTTTTTTTTTGAACCAGTGGTAATCAAACAAAAGAGTAACTTTCAATAAGTATTATTTATAATCTATATTGAATAAAAAGGTTTCTGTTTCTGTTACTTTCATAAAAACTTATGTATACAAAAGCAACTTACCAATCGGAGGTTTTTTTGATTTAATGGGCTTCCCATGGTGTCCTTCTCATTTACATGATAATCACCCAGACAACTTGAAAAACTAATGGGTTTGGAGTTTAAGTTGTTTTTGTCGGCAGAAGTAGTAAATATTTGTTGATTGTCAGACAGATTTAACTTTTTCAAACTCAAAAATACCATCTGTAACATTTTTCAATCTTTATTATACAATTCTGTTAATGGCATTTTTGACGATAAAACAAAATTTAACATTACAGTAGTAACATAACAGTAACAAAAGAGTTGGTCTGTATTGCACAGTGTCCTGAGTTAAATTTACACCAAAAAAAAAATATTGTTTTGAATCTGGGCTTAATTTGTTGTATTGTCGTCGTTTCTGGCCCATAATAACAAGAATCCTAAAATGGGAAACAGTACAACGTATGTGTTAGGTGTTACAGATAAGACTCCTGTGCAGCGCATATATGGGGGAGGAGAAAACAGCAGCTCACGTGTTGCTGGCAAGTCCAGAGATCACTGCATATAGGGCTAAACATCTCTGCACACCGGGATCACTACCCGAAGTTGTTTGCAACATCAAAGGACTGTTGAACTTCTTCAGAAAAAATTTAATGGCTCGAATAATCATTAGAATAAGGGTGACAAATGAGCACACAGTCCTCCTTATGGTAAGTGAATGCTGTGGCCCATAGACATTAGCCACTTTTGCATCTGCATTTTAATTCTTAATTAATATGTCTATGGGCCAAACTGAAGTGAACTGTGTTCCTTTGCAATAAGATGTATTCTTGCATTTACAAAATAAGTTTGATAAACAATGTACAAAACAAAATCACTTCCCACAGTCTGTAGGTTTAGGTATTTTAAACTATGCAACAGATTTTAATTAAATTTTTTGTGGGCTTGAATGGGTCCTTAGATGGTTTAGATTCACATTTGGACCTGTAAGGTGGCGCTATTGTTGAGATCCCAAAATTGACCATGCTAAGCAGGGGTGAAACGCTAGCATAGACTATATAATTTTTAGCTACTTTTATAAAAATAAATATTAGACCTATATAGAGCCAACTTACCATACAATTGGGCACTGCAGATTCTTTTAGCAATTGGCATCCCTTTGTTGATGTATAAAAGTCTTCCTCTTTAAAATGCAAAGAACATATTTTGGAATACTTATTTGGATTCCAATTACGTTGCTGTCTTTGCAAACGAACTGCTTTTGTCCATCGTTCTTTAAGAATACAATTCTGTGGAAATCTAAAACCAAAAATAGTTATTAAATGTTAGATATTAATAGCCTATACCAACATCATTATAACTTAATAGTAAATGATGATGATTATTTATATTAGATCATGAATTGCAAACATGATAATAACTGCATAGCAACATCCTAATGCCAACTCACCTGCCAAGCAAGACAGCTATGACAAAATCTTCACTATGAGCCAATCTACGGTGGAGATCCAAGTTCAAGAGTGGACTTAAAGGCTGTGACAAGACTACGGTTCTTACGGTTTGAAGTTGTTTAGTGTTTTTGTAAAGCCATATTTGCTACAGCTGGCGGGGGCTGGTCTCCTTCCACGCCTGTGGCTTTATGAAAACACTCTAGGGGTAGGGCAGACAAGACTATGTGGAATCAGGGAGTGCTGATTCAGTTTTAGTATTCGATTAAGTATCAATATCTCGGCAACTAAGTGAGATATCGAAAAATTTAATTCTTACTTTTACCGGTGTATCTTGTCAAGATCTATGCAAATCCTCCTTCATATCATGACACTGTAGGAACCATAGAAAATCGTAGGCCGTAATAAATGGATGGATGGGTGAAACATCTCTATGAAATGTCAGTATTCTAAAAGTAAAAACTATTTTATACTTACGAGTGGAAAGTAATCCCAGAAGTTTTATTACACAAACTGGAATTATTCTTACACCATTTCACAACACAGGATGGCATTTTCTGACCGGTTGTAAAATAACACTGAAAATTATAGCACACTGTTACTCCTAGCTCCTTAAGTCCCAGCGGGTAAAAGTAAAAATACTACTACTTCGAACGACAGTCAACGGTGGGTGAGGTAAAACCGGCCGCGTCTTAGTTTAGAAGCCTCCCTCACCGCGGTTATAAACACATTATACTTCAATGTCTAATATTTTAGTTCGTCCGGCCAATTTGAGGAGTCAATTACGCTTTTAAGTTTTTCCGAATTGCTAAAATTCTTTGTACAGTAGCGTATATAAATGTAGTAAAACTTTACGCTGTATTCATTAACGATATAACTTCGCACAAACTAGTTCTTATTTGACATAAATCCAAACTTTAGGAAGACAGTACCGTGTCGCAAAGCAATGGTTAACGTAAAGTGGTTTTATTTTCTTGTAAATCAAATTACATATCATGCAGATTTATTTTATTTGTGATAAAAACACAAAACCGAAATAAATAACCAAAACAACAAGACAAGTAGGGACTAGGGATATCCACTTAGTGTTTCAGTATATACACTCTTATCTATGACTTAGTGTTGCCGTTTGGACAATCTAGTTTGTGGCTATTTTTTTTTTTTTGGAGTTTATGGCCTGGTATCTAGACCTTTAGGCCAAGTCTTAAGTATTTTTATTCGGTTTATTGTAATTTCCCCACTCCTTCATAGTATACTGCTTCACAATATGTTGATGCGTCACATTGTGCAGTTCTTGGGAGATTTTGGCGGCAACTTGATCCAGCAGACAGCTGATAGTTGGCGATGGTATCTAAAGGTGCCTATGCAAACAAACAGCTTATCTTGAGAATCCATCACCATCAGAGCACTTGTTTCACTGTTTCCACTAATAGTTCACATGCGTAGACACTTAATACACAAAATCGCAACACTTTTACATATCAAAGTCCACTTCAAACCATTATTTAAACAATAATACAGGAGCAGCAAACCGCCGCCGGTCAATTTCCCGCCAAAATTCCAGTTTGTGGCTAAATAGAATAAAAAAATGACCAGCTTTTAAAAAAAATCGTAATCGAAAAGTAGCTAGAAGTGGCTAATATCACAATATCCTTTGCCTACTTTAATATTCTATATTGATAATTGATAATTAAATAATATACAGGGTTAGGGATAAGTGGGTTTAATTAAAACCGGATCTAATTAAGTATTTATTAAAACTAACAATAATGTTTGTACGTATCTATAATTAAAATTTAGTAACTAATTGAATTATTTGAAAAAAATAAATAAAAATTAATAATCAATTTGTAGGTCTGCAATGTCATCTGGTAATTCTATAACCTCTTCGTCAATGGGTGATGATGATGTAGATGGTGTTACGATTTGTTTTAAAGGTTTGACAGTTTTTTAATTTTTTTTAAAACCTCAGGCGGCAAAACATAGTTGTGACAATTTTTCTTCTTTATTTTTAATTGATTTCTAATCATTATTATAGAATTGAGTGTCAATGAACACATTCTATTTCTCAATTTATTTTTTACAGTGTTCATCACGCTGAACAGCCTTTCTACTTCCGCATTAGAGTGAGGAAGGGACATTGCAGCAATAGCCAAGTCAGCTAGTTCTCGAAATGTATTAACTCCTGCTGCATTCTTGTGTTTTAAGACTTGCGCCCAGAATTTAACACTGTCTCCTGTAGTTTCCCATTCTATGAATTGTATAGTTTTCCATTGTTGAACAATTTTATATGTTTTTTGGTCATCGAATCGCAATTCTCTTGCTAATCCAACCAGTGCATGAGGATCCTTGATCTGTTTTAATGTGTTCTCTGGACTTAAGAGTGTTACTTTTGCTAGGATCTCGTAATTAGAAGATTAGAGTAACAAGGTCATCAGAGTTTCTAACAGTTTGACAGGATCAATATTTTCACCTTCAAATACCTTAATGCCAATTTGAACGTCGTTAAGAATACTTTTCAAAAAACATAAGTAAAGACGATTACCCTCGTCATTGTACATTTCCCAAAGAAGTCCCGCTGTATAGCACTTCTCTCTGGCCAAAGAAAAATGTAGTTTTAACTCGTTCCATTGTGCCAATATTCTCAACACAGCAGGCTCTATTGATAACCAACGGGTGTCACAAACCTTTAATATTTTTAATGGTTCATCCCCGCAGTTAATTGTTTGAAACAGTGCTTTATATTCGTCTCGGCGTTTTGGAGAAATGGAGAACCAGTTGTACGTCTCTCTTATCAGAAATTCTATGTTACGTGGCAGATTGCTTTCAGAGGCATGGCTGACCGCCAATTGCAAAGAGTGGCAGATGCATCTAATGAGGATCAAATTTGGTAAATTATATTCTCTCTTCAAAATTTCAATTACGCTGTTATTTCGGCCCGTCATGACCGAGGCATTGTCGGTGCCGATCCCAATCAAATTTTGTATTGGAAGATTTTGTGACTCCAAACATTTTACTAAAGGTGTGACAATACCTCTCGCATCAGCTCTTTCAATAGGCTTCAGAGACAGAAATGACGACATAATATTATTCGTATTCAGGCTAAAATATCGTATTATTATTCCCATGTATTTTGAGACGCTAACATCCGTAGATTCATCTAAAATAATACTATATTTCTGCGTGCCAATATCTTTTAGAAGAGTATCCTTAAAATGCGGCGCCAGCACTTGATTTATAACTTGCGAACATTTAGTTCTATGCATTTTTATATCTTTGGCACACTTTGAATCATGAAAAACTTCTTTACAAAGGTCTGTAAGGTGGTCAGTGTTGGATATGGAAGTATGTTCAGCAATGACCAAGGCAAGCTGGACTTCAGCTTTTTGGCTGTTCTTTGAACCATCATCAGGGGTAGAGGTAAACTGGATCTGTTTATTTTTTGTGATTAATTCACATTTTGCTTTGTGTTTTTTAGATTCTCTGTGCTTACGTAAATCATAAATTTTGGCAGCAATTTCTACATGACAATACGTGCAAAAGGCTTTCGTTGGACTATCCGCTATTGGCTTTATCCACTGTTTAAAGTCTTCGTCATTCTCCCATTCAGTCCTATATTTTTGAATGTAGCTCTTTTTCTTGAGAGTAACATCCATGATATTTCCAATAACTTTCCAAGAAATCAAGACTCTCAATTCACCTTTAAAACTTAACAAAAATGAAAAATGTAAGAACTATCCACGCGTGAGAGGCTACGGCTAAACAAGAACAATGCAATCTATCGTTTCGACTTTCGGTACTATATGAGTGGAGTTGGGGAAACCCCGATCATAGATTACAACTGCGGCGCGGAGAGTGAGCGGACCGCGGTAGTGTTGCCTTCTCAGCAAAAGGCGGTAACCACATGTTTCTTTAAAAGAACTTAGTAGCTAACAAAAATTACCAGAAGTAGTTAGAAGTAGCTAGATTCGTTTTGGTGGCTAAAATTGATATTTTTTTGGCTAAAACCTTTGAAAATCCGCTAGATCTAGCCACAAAGAGGCTAAAACGGCAACACTGTATCCACTTAACTACATATATATTTATCTATGCTTAACATCGATATACCGAATTTGTTCGATGTTTTTCGTACGATATACCGGACTGATTCGATGTTTTGACAAATACTAATTGTATTCGATATACCGATATATTTATTTAGAGAAACATCGAATGTCTGCTTTTTTTTTGTTGATACATACATAAACATAAACACTCACGCCTGTCACGCAGAGGGGTAGGCAGAGATTATGGACTTCCATTTGGCACGATCGTGACACATCTCTCGCTTCCTCCACATCGATATACCTACGCATACACGCTCGTCGGTTAAAGGTACTCGTGATTTGGCCCATTTTTAATATATCGCCAATTTGGTCGATAAACTTTTGCCTAGGGCGACCCTTCCCGACTATGCCGTTCACCTCTGCAACATAAATTTGCTTTGTCACTCTTTCCTCATTCATTCTTTCTACATGGCCAAACCACCGAAGCATTCCTTTTTTAATCCTGGTCACAACATCATCTTGCAAACCACACTCTTCTCTTATTAAACAATTTCTCACTCTGTCATTCAGCTTCATCCCTAACATACTCCTTAATGACCGCATTTCTACAGCATTTATTCTACTCTCATGCTTCTTCTGCCACACCCAACTTTCACTACCATACATTAAAGTAGGTACTAACACAGCATTGTGAATTGCCATACGTGCCTTTTTGGACACATTCTGACTTTTCACAATAGAGTGTAGAGCCCCATTCACTCTATTTCCTGCATTCACTCGTCGTTCTATATCCTTATCCTTAAGGCATTTGACTGTTAACTCACCCATTCTTAACCCGCATTCTTCTACTTTCAAATTTTCCAAACAACTGTCCATAAATAGGTTGAAAAACCACGGGGAAGCCACACAGCCCTGTCTGACACCTTTATGGATGTCAAACCAGTCCGAGTAGGCCCCGTTGATCATGACACAAGCACCAGAGTCCCTATATAGAGACTTCAATGCCTGTATCAGACCAGCGCTCAACCCAAATGAGTTCAGTGTTTGCCATAACACTTCCCTGTCCACTCTGTCATAAGCCTTCTCCAAGTCCATGAACGCACAAAAAACTTTTTGGTTTTTGGCCAAAAACTTCTCGGCGATCATGCGCATGGAAAAGACCTGATCCGTATATCCCATTCCCTTTCTAAATCCCGCTTGCACATCCCAATTTTTTTTTGTTGAATCTATTAAAAAACTAAATAATTTTAACACTACTTGATGACTTCAATTTTAAGCAAAGTTCATTAAGATCAATCATTAAGACATCTGTGAGTGACCAGCTTAGTTACCTAATCTATGCTGACAGATCGATCGACCATTCACACTCAATGTATGTAGTCTGCGGATTCTATAGGTTCATTATATTTACTTTTATTCACTCACCCTCACTCTTCTTGCGTCGTCTTCTGCTGTTTGGTATTAACGCAATTAAATCCTTTAAATAAATTTTATTTAATATATAATTTAATTAAATAATTTTTAACAGTGGTAGAGCCACGCGGCAGCTTTTGCTGTCACACGGATGGGCCGGCTCGAACCGGGGTTGTACCACGAACTCACAGAAAACCAGCGTGAAGTAGAGGTTTACCTCTTCGTTTCGCTTGGTGAGTGCAGGTGGCTGGAGGCCCTTTTTACTGGAAATGAGGCATGCCATCTTAGTCCTTTAGTTTTACGTGGTAGAGCCACGCTGCAGCTATATTAGTAGTATAGTTGTAGCACGAATGGGTCGGCTCGACCGGGGAAGGACCACGCTCTCACAGAATACTTGCGTCAAATAGCAGTTTAACACTGCTGTGTTTCGTATGGTGAGTGTAGAGAACCGGAGAGTCTTTTTACTGGAAAAGAGGCATTCCATCTTAGTCTTTACGGGTGACAGTGCATCTGCGTTTTGCTTCGCAAACGAAGATAAATGTAGATGTCTATGGGCCACAGCAACCACATACCATCAGGTGGACTGTGTGCTCGTTTGTCACTCGATCCTATAAAAAAAAAGTCCTCACGGGTGACAACGCATCTACATTTTGATTTGTAATAGAGGATAGATGTAGATGTCTATGGGCCGCAGCAACCACTTACCATCAGGTGAACTGTGTGCTTGTTTGTCTCCCTTATCCTATAAAAAAAATCATTGTTTTGATTGTTTATCTAAGACAAGTTTATGTAAAACTTTTACTTCCTACTCTGGTATCTGATTCTACATTCACACATACAAAATTAAGGACCACAAACTTTGCGAGTTTCACTGGAAAAAGGTAATATTAAACTTTTGTGCAAAGTATTCGATAGTGAAAAAATATCGATGTTTTATAGCGATATATCGATAAACATCGATGCTGGGATCCGATGTTTTACATCGAATATAAATATCGATATATTTTTTAAGTGGACACCCCTAAGACATTGTATTAACATTTCTCCTAGTGATGGGTCAACTCGAGTTAATTACTCGAGCTAACTCGATTTGCGCTTAACTC